GTGCGTGATGCCGAAAAAGCAACTGAAAACACATGTAGTGGTGAACTGGTCCTAAAGATTATTAATAGGTCAGGGAACGGACTGACCAGGAATTGTGAATTCAATCAGACTAGTGGTGAGATACAATCAGCAATCCTATAATAATGTGAGATCTGAGCTGTAGCTGATAGAAAATGAGACACATTCACTTGATCAGTAAAGTATAGTTAAGAGAGTGGGGTGGTGATCATAGATTTGCATATGGGACAGGTGATGATGGGGTGGGGGAGGGGGTCAAGTTGTATAAGGAGATAGATTTAAAAGAAGAGAAAAAAGTTACAATGAAATACACACAGCATGAAAACTTGCACATTTCCTAATTGGCAGAAGACAGGACGCAGGTAACATTCATCCACTTTCTAGTCATTAGGCAAAATCATAATTGATTGATCAATATTCCTGGCGCTGACAAACCCAGAAAATTGATCTCCATTCTTTTATCATTCATAAATGTCAAGGAGCTTATAATCTAAGGGATTAAGAAACTCAGCCATGTACTAGGCCCAATGAACCTCACAGCAGTCTTTGAGTGTTGGCAACCACTAAACACATCCATACAGGGAAAGCATGTAAACTGGGATGCAGCCATGACTGGGATTAGAACCCATGACCCTAAGTGCTGTAAGTTTCTGAGCACGCTGTAACCACTAATACCACTGTGGGAGACACAGTTTGTTGCACAAGATACAATGGTAGAATAGTACGTTGTTTAACCGTTTCAATAACCGGGCAATTTTCCCCCCGCTCTTCCTTGCCCAGGCCTTGAAGCACCTTTCAGGTTGTCAGCGCTCTCCACACTTTGGAATGACAATTGCGGGGGTCATACAACACTGTACCCAAACTAAAATTTTTATCATTTTCTTCTAACACAACTAGAGCTTTCTTTTGGTGTCGTATTTAATCACCGCTGGGGTTTTTATTTTTTGCTAAATTAACGTTTCGAAAAAAGACCAAAAATTTTGAAAAAAAACCCACATTTTTTCTTTGTTTCTGTTATAAAAGTTTACAAAATAAATAATTGTTCTTCATAAATTTAGGCCGAGATGTATTCTGCTACATGTCTTTGGTGAAAAATAACCCAAATTAGGCATGTATTATTTAGTTTGTAGGAACAGTTATAAGAGTTCACAAAACTATGGTATAGATCTGAAAATTCATCAATCCTGAAGTACTGACGGCCAATCGAATTTCTTGAGGTCCAAGAACACCAGGACAGTACAGATATCCCCCAAATGTCAGGACGGTACAACAGAGATATCCCCCCACAATGTCAGGACGGTACAGATATCCCCCAAATGTCAGGACGGGACAGATATCCCCCAAATGTCAGGACGGGACAGATATCCCCCAAATGTCAGGACGGTACAGATATCCCCTCAAATGGTCAGAACGGTACAGATATCCCCCAAATGTCAGGGGACGGTACAGATATCCCCCAAAATGTCAGAACGGTACAGATATCCCCCAAATGTCAGGACAGTACAGATATCCCCCCAAATGTCAGGACAGTACAGATATCCCCCAAATGTCAGAACAGTACAGATATCCCCCAAATGTCAGGACAGTACAGATATCCCCAAATGTCAGAACAGTACAGATATCCCCCAAATGTCAGGACAGTACAGATATCCCCCAAATGTCAGGACGGTAACAGATATCCCCCCAAAATGTCAGGACGGTACAGATATCCCCCAAATGACCCCTTTTTGCAGAGTAGACAGTCCGACGTACTTCATAAGAGGAATGGCGAGTTTTTTGAAGTTGTATTTTTTTGTCATAATTTTTCGGAAAATGAAAAAAATGAAAAAAATTATTTTCACTATTTTTTTTTTTACATCCTGTCACCCAGGTGCAGTACACAGCGTCATCATATAACTGGGCATGCGTTCGGTGAACAGCGACACTGACTGGTGACAGTTATGAAAAAAAAAATATAATATATATATTTTTTTTAATTTTTAGTTATTATATTTAATTTTTTGAGTAAATTTTTTTTTATTTTTTTTAAGATTTTTTTTTCATATTTTACTATGACCAAAATAGTACACTGTTACCATAGTAACATTGTACTACTTTTGGGAAGTGATTAGTTTTTTGTGTTTTTTTATACACAAATGTCTTGCTTATAGCAAAGAATTACTTTCTATAAACAAGCATTTACCTAAATGACATCGATTCATTCAGCTTCTTTTTTTTTTTTTGTGCTTAGCTGTGATTTGGGTCACAGCTAATCACATGACATGTACATGTGATTAGCTGTGACCATTCAACAGCTAGGCACTAGTATACAATGGATGGCATCATGAATGAAGCCATCCATTGTATACAACCTGTCATGTGACCTGCTGTGATTGGTCCTCGGCAGGTCACATGGTACCGGTACAAGGCAACGGGAGCCGGTACTCGGGGTCTGTCATCGGGGGGTGCCGTGTCCAAAAGGTGCACGGGCCGGGTGACAGATCGCACTGCTGCGCCGCTCTGCACTAGCGCAAACTGCCGCATGTGTGGGAGCACGCCCAAATGGCGTGTACCCGGAACGGAGAGACACACTTCTACTGAAGCCACCAAACGGCCATTGGCCGGGCGGCTAATGGTTAAAAAATGATAAAGTGAGCGCTGGTCACCATGATATAGACTACTAAACTGGTATTACACAAGATAAATATAACCACGAACAGTAGAGCATGAACTCGTGAAAGGTCATCCACCCCTGTGACAGTGTACTACACTATTGAGCACCTTTCTGGCTCCTGTGGCTGAGCTAATTCCTCCCCAGGACCATTTGGGCACCCACCCTGATGGATGGATGGTGCTGGATGACTAACCCCATAGCTGCCAGCATACCGCTGCACCCCCAGATGTGTGATGTGTATAACCCGTGATGCCATTAATACTTTTGTTCTGGTGAGAGTGTAAAACCAGTTTCCCATGTGGGTGGCTTTACCTTTCACGATTCATGCACTACTGTCCGTCACGGACGGAGACTAAACCACACGTGCCATTCATACCGGCACCCCCCCTGAGTTTGTCGGTCACGTGAGAGACCCACGTGCCATTCAATACTTTTGTTCTGGTGAGTTAGACCGTCCCAAGGAGGTTTACCACACACGCCATTCATGCACTCTCTGACTGTCCGTCACGGAGAGACCACACGTGCCATTCATAGGCACTCTCTGAGTTGGTACTCTCACAACCAAGGACATTCCATTATTCAGGAATGATTAGAGGAACTTATTTTTAGCACCATTTACCATTTTACATCATTATTGCAATTCTTTGCACTTTTTGGTTTTTCCATGCGTTGATTATTGATCACATGCATTTATAGCGCTGCACTATGACTGTAACATAGAATAGTTACATGATTACAGAGAAGGAAGATATATCATTATATTGGGAACTTAGAACTATATTCCAAATTATTTGAGATATAAGTGTGAAAATGTTTAACATTTGAAAATAGAATGTATGACATTCATTAGTAAATGCATCAGTTGTCTGATCATTTTGGAGAAACAGCAAAAAAAAAAAAAAAATTACAATATAGGTTGTACTAATTATGTTACATTCGAAGTATTCTCTTTTGCTAACACAAAAACGCCAATGATACAAAAGCCCGCGCTTTGTGCGCCATCTAGCGAATATATCCGGTATTGCACCTAAAAAATGTGCCAGGCGCGATTCCACATTTACTAATAGCAAAGTAGACGTTCGTCAATGAGATTGCTAGACGCCGCTCAGAAGACTGACAGGTCTTGATTGATTTAACGGAGTCTGCCTGAATGTTCAGAGTCTGATAGTAGACTGAAGTCTTAGTAAATCAGGGCCTAGATGTCTCCTCGATGTTCCACCCCAGACCCTAGATGTCTCCTCGATGTTCCACCCCGGACCCTAGATGTCTCCTCGATGTACCACCCCGGACCTCTAGATGTCTCCTCAATGTACCACCCCCTCGATGACTCTAGATGTCTCCTCAATGTGTCCTCTCGATGCCCCCCAGACCTAGATGTCTTCTCAATGTACCACCCGGACTCCTAGATGTCTCCTCGATGTACCACCCCGGACCCTAGATGTCTCCTCGATGTACCACCCCCGGACCCTAGATGTCTCCTCAATGTACCACCCCCCGAGACCCTAGATGTCTCCTCGATGTTCCACCCCACCCCTAGACCCTAGTGTCTCCTCAATGTTCACCACCCCAGACCCTAGATGTCTCCTCCCCGGAATGTACCGATGTTCCCCAACCTAGATGTCTCCTCGATGTTCCACCCCAGACCCTAGAATGTCTCCTCGATGTTCCACCCCGGACCCCTAGATGTCTCCTCGATGTTCCACCCCAGGACCCTAGATGTCTCCTCGATGTTCCACCCCTCTGACCCTAGATTGTCTGATGGACTTCTCACTCAGCAATCTGGAGGTATCCCTGAACAGGGGATCTGGTTCCTGTTACTTTAAAAGTGAACAATCCCAAATAGGCAGCGAATCTGGTTTCCCACCAGAGTGCTCTTTCCCCTATCCGCCCAGGGGGGGTGCAGGGGTACTCACTCAGATTCTCTCCTGTACCGCTGGTGGCTGCTTCTAGGCTTTCTTAGCTAGGCCGCTCCTTCCCTGACATACAGGTGGTCCTCGCTCTGGGGACAAGTGAAATTCTAAGCTTCTCCCTTTCCAGCTCCAGACCTGCAGGTAGGCCCCATCCCCCTGGGCCTTCTTGCAGCCTCGGGCCTTCAGCCTGACATCTTCCTCACTGTCTTCCACCAAACTCTCCTGCAACTGAGCAGGTTCCAACACTTAAGGGTGTCCTGGCCCCTTTCCAACCCCCCTGTTGGGGATTGGCCCAGATCCCTCAAGTGTACAAGCCAGCCACTCCTCAGATCCACCCACTGCTTCTAGGGCCTTTTTCCTAAGCCCTAGAGCAGGGGGAATTTTCAAGGGGCTGGCAGTAGAGCCTTTCAGCTCCTGACCACAATTTGAACTTCTGGCTATTACACGTAGGCGGCTACTCAGCCTTCCTCACTGTCAATCAGGACTCTAGCTCCCCCTACCTAAACTAGGAAGGTGCTACTTTTGCACAAAACATTTCCCGCACTCAAGGCACTAATACACCTCCAGGGTTGTGTGGGACCCCTGATGTCCAGGAAGACAGGAATTCAGTGAGGAACATTTCCTCAGTCAGACCAGGAAAGTTCGTTCTCCTCCGTGTCCAATCTCAGATGACTGTAAGCAGAGGACTTCTGGGGGTTACACTTCCACCAATCAGAACAGGGAAGCGCATCTGCCTCCGTTTGCAATCTCACATGTGCGTCAAGATCGGACTTAGTTTGAAAACATTTATCACATTTAGGACAGGAATACGCTTCTTCCCTCTGTGAGATCTCTGATGTTCGGAAAGAGAGCCCCTGTGTGAAAAACATTTTCCGCACTCACGACAAGAATACGGCTTCTCCCCCCTGTGAGATCTCTGATGATCGGAAAGAGAGGCCCTCTCTGAAAAACATTTCCCGCACACTCAGACAGGAATACGGCTTCTCCCCCGTGTGAGATCTCTGATGTTTGTAAAGATTGGACTTCTGTGAAAAACATTTCCCACACTCAGGACAAGAATACGGCTTCTCTCCAGTGTGTAACCTCTGATGTGTGGTAAGATTGGACTTCATTGAAAAACATTTCCCGCACTCAGCACAGGAATACGGCTTCTCCCCCGTGTGAGTTGTCTGATGTTTGTAAAGACTGATCTTCTGTGAAAAACATTTCCCGCACTCGGGACAGGAATACGGCTTCTCCCCCGTGTGCAATCTCTGATGTAAGTAAAGACTGGACTTGTCTAAAAAACATTTCCCGCACTCTGAGCAGGAATGTGGCTTTTTCCCCGTGTGAGACCATTGGTGTCTGCTGAGAGTGGATTTCTTTGAAAAAGTTTCCCGCACTCAGAACAAGAAAACGGTGTTTCCCCTGTGTGGGATCTCTGGTGTTTGACAAGGTCTGATTTTTGTACAAAACATTTCCCGCAGTCAGAACAGGAATGAAGCTTCTCCCTTGTGTGAGATCGCTGATGAGTGTATAGATTGGACTTATCTGAAAAACATTTCCCACACTCAGGACAGGAAAACGGCTTCTCTCCAGTGTGACATCTCTGATGTATGGAAAGTTTCCACTCATTTCCCACTTATATGAAAAACTGGATTTCCACACACTCGACCGACAGGAATGCGGCTTCTCCTGTGTGAGATGTCTGATTGTCGAGAATGGAAACCTGCAAAAATCCCGACTGGAGGAAACCCGATGTTGTCCATCTGAGGTTCCTCAGGACTGGGTCCGATGGTCCATCTACACTGGGTGGTGCCGGATGGACATTGGATGGAGCCGGTTTTTCTCCTGGACTATACTGTGTGATGTCCTCATCTTTCTACTTTTCCAGTCTGGAGACAAAGTGAGACAATCCTCTGAGGTTTTCCTCATCTCCAGGCCATGGACTAAAAGACAAAGAGGATTACTAGACAGGAGCTGATTGGTTCCCCCAAACCAGAAAGACAGAGAAAGATCCAATGAGAACTTTATCATCTGGACCAATCAGTGAGAAGTATGGGTGGAGGAATGGATTTAGTGTTCATGACCCACCTGTGCTGATATCTGTAGGAGTGTCCTCCTCTATAAATGTCCCCGTTCTTCCATCCTCCTCCATAGACTGCTGATCATCCCTCACATACCCTCTTCTTCTTCTGATTTCACCTCAAATTCTATATCGATTGGATCTCCACTCTACATCAAGAGAAGGAGAGGAAATATAACATTGAAAGTGGCTGTAAACCTGCAAAAATCAAACAAAAATAGAACATAAAATCTAATAAAGAAGAAGAGCACAAGCCATTTGTGAGAAGTGTGGCTGGTAGAAGAGCAGCCTGCCATCAGCAATCCTCTCCGCAATATTGAGAAGAAAAAAAAAAAAAAAAGAAAAAAAAAAAAGGGTGACGCCACATGCCCCTTGATTGACAGCCTGTATAATGAGATATATACAGGAGGAGGTAAGAAGGAGGCATGTCTGCTGCTGCTGCTCTGCAACTCCCGAGAGAGAGAGAGGGGAGAGAGAGAGGGCGGAGGGGGAGAGAGAGAGAGGGGGGAGGAGAGAGAGAGGGGGAGAGGGGGGAGGAGAGAGAGAGGAGGGGGGAGGGAGAGAGGGGGGGAGAGAGGGGGGGGGGGGAGAGAGAGAGAGGGGGGAGAGGGGGGATAGGGAAGACAGAAAGGGGGGAGAGGGGGAGAGAGGGAGAGAGAAAGGGGAGAGAGGGGGGGAGAGGGGAGAGAGAGAGGGGAGGAGAGAGAGGGGGAGGGGGGGGAGGGGGAGAGAGAAGAGGGGAGAGGGGGGGAGGGGGAGAGAGAAAGGGGAGGAGGGGGGGAGGGGGAGAGAGAGAAAGGGGAGAGAGGGGGAGGGGGAGAGAAAGGGGAGAGAGGTGGGGGAGAAAAGGGGAGGGGGGGGAGAAAAGGGGAGAGAGGGGGGAGGGAGGGAGAGGGGGAGGGGAGAAAAGGAGAGAGAGGGGGGAGGGGAGAGATTGGGAAGGAGATAGAGGGGGGGAGGGAAGAGATTGGGAGAGAGGGAGGGGGGGGTGAGATTGGGGGGAGGGAGAGATTGGGGAGAGAGAGCGGCAGGGGGGGAGAGAGCGGGGGAAGAGAGAGAGGGTGAGAGAGAGATGGGGGGAAAGAGAGGGAGAGAGAGAGGGAGAGGGGAGAGATGGGGGGAAGAGCCTGGGGGAAGAGAGAGAGGGGTGAGAAAGATGAGGGGAGAGAGAGAGGAGAGGGGGGAGAGATGGGATGAGAGAGGGAAGGAAGAGGGGGAAGAGAGAGAGGGAGGGAGGGAGAGGAGAGGGGGGAGAGAGAGGGGGCGAGAGAAACGAGGAGGGGGAGAGAGAGGGGCCGAGAGAGAGAGAGAGAGGGAGGGAGGGGGTGAGAGAGAGAAGAGAGGGGAGGGGGTGAGAGAGAGAAGAGAGGGGGGAGCGATGAGGGGGGGGAAGAGAAGGGGAGAGGGAGAGAGAGGGGGGGGGGAGAGGGGGAGGGAGGGAAAGATGGGAGAGAGAGGGAAGAGAGGGACTTCCTGAGAGAGGGGGGGGAAGAAGGAGGGGACCACTTCCTGACAAAGAGAGGGGGCAGGGGGGGAGAGGACTGGCTGAAGGGGAGGAGGGGGGAGAGAGAAAATGGTTGAGAAAGAGTGGGGAGGGAGAGAGGAGAGAGAGAGAAAGAGGAGGGGGGGGAGGGGAGAGAGAGGGGGAAAGAGAGAGGGAGGGTGAGAGAGAGGGGGGAGGGGGAGAGAGAGGGGGGGGAGAAAGAGGGAGGGAAAGAGAGGGAGGGGGGACCAGAGCTAGAGAAAGAGAGGGGGGGGAGGAGAGAGAGGGGGGAGGAGAGAGAGGGAGGAGAGTACTGTGCCAGCAATGTCACTAGGGGGTCCTGGAGGATGAGGACCTCTTCTTGCTAAAATGTGACCAGGGGGTCTTGGAAGATGAGGACCACTTCTTGCTAAAATGTGACCAGGGGGTCCTGGAGGATGAGGACCACTTCCTGCTGCAGTGTGACCAGGGGGTTTGGAGGACAAGGACCACTTCCAGCTGTAATGCAAATAGGGGGTCCTGGAGGACAAGGACCACTTCCTGCTACAATGTGACCGGGATGTCATGGAGGATGAGGACCACTTCCTGCTGCAATGTGACCAGGGTGTCATGGAGGATGAGGACCACTTCCTGCTACAATGTGAGTAGGGGGTCCTGGAGGACGAGGACTACTTCCTGCTACAATGTGAAATAGGGGGTCCTGGAGAGGACGAGGACCACTTCCTGCTACAATGCGACCAGGGCGTTCTGGAGGTTGAGCACCGCTTCCTGCTACAATGTGACCAGGGCAATCTGGAGGATGAGGACCGCTTCCTGCTACAATGTGACCAGGGTAACCTGGAGGATGAGGAACACTTCCTGCTACAGTGCCCCAAGTACTCATCAGTGAGGGACACTCACTTCCAGAGACAACTCCGCTCTCATCCCGGACTTCACATCTATAGAAGAGAGGACTCAACTCAACATGGCCTACAACTAATTGAGGAGGCATTATTGAGAGATACACACCATGTGATTTAGGTTATAACTATATTATCTACTAAACTAAGCAAAAAAAATTGTGTTTTGGGAATTTGGGTTTTCAGCCACTTCAATAATGCAAGACCACAGAGAGAACGTCATCATGTAGGATCCACACATTGTCTGGCATGGCTGAGTCCCTTTCATGGCCTAGATCCTTCATCAAACCAACCTTGTAATTGTGTGCATAGTTGTGGCCTTCCTGTGTTGAAGACCGGGAATACAGAGGACATCTCTCTGGTGGGCTTGATGGCTTCATCATGGTGTCCTCATAGAGATCCTTGTGCTCTTCAGAACACTCCTCCATCACTCCATACTCCTCTTTTATCTCTTCTTTAACATCAATATTATCATCCCTGAGGATTCCACCCTAAACATTCAAAAAGAAATTCAATGTAACAAACACCCTTGAGGAACAATCACTAATAGTTGTGATTTATACACATCTACCTGATGATGGTAAGGGATGGTGTGAACTTCCTGTGTGGAATCCTGGTGAGGGATACAGAGGACGGGGACATCTCTCTGGTGGGTTCCTGTAGCTTGATGACTCCTCCATAGTGTCCTGGAACAGATCTTTGTGTCCTTCTGAAAACTCTAAACTCCTCCATCACCCCATCCTCATCCTCCTCCTCTCTATTATCTCTTCTTTAACCTCAACTGTAGAATCTCTCAGGTTTCCACTCTGAATATATAATAAAATGACATCAATGGTAACAATGCAGATAATGTACAGATCCTAATGATACTATCAGTGATTGTTCCTCATCTATCTGATGATGGTGGAATCTCGTGAGGATGGTTAGACCGTCCTGTGTGGAATCCCGGGAATACAGAGGACGGGGACATCTCTCTGGTGTGTTCCCATGACTGGATCCATCTACCTGATGATGGTGAGGGAGGGTGTGACCTTCCTGTGTTGAATCCCAGGAATACAGAAGACGGGGACATCTCTCTGGTGGGCGCCCATGACTGGATCCATCTGTAGGAAACACACACACACTGACTGAATCCATTGTTTCTATGTATTTATCAGATATGGGGGATCTAGGTGGAGCCTCCGTACTGCTCTCTCCTTTCTAATAAAATCTCCTCTTACCCAGTGATGTGAGGGGCGGCTGATTGTCCATCATGACATTCTTGTAGAGGTCCTTGTGGAAATACTCACACTCCTCCATGGAGAAATAGACAGTGACACCCTGAGACATCAGGAAATAGTTATTTCCTCCTCATTATTACTACATAAAATATATAAAAGAAAAAAGTTTGTATTTTAAAGCCACCTCTAATTAAAACCCTCATCCCGTAATATCATGGAGTCAGTCAGTATAGACTGAGGAGGTGAGAAGGTGATTGGTGGGAAAGGTGACATCTCCACAATGAGGAGAATGTTCCGGCCCCGGAAATGAGGGAATGTTCTGGCCCTGAAAGGGTTAATCTGGGTTCCCACACTATATATGTGTGTATCATCATCTGCTGGAGATAAAAGACGTCACAGTGATGATGGAGGAAGAGGACGGACGCGACGGTGGAGGGAGAGGACGGACGCGGCGGTGGAGGGAGAGGACGGACGTGACGGTGGAGGGAGAGGACGAGCGTGACGGTGGAGGAAGAGGACGAGAGTGTACTATGGGAGAAGAGGACGGACGTGACTGTGGAAGAAGAGGACGGACGCAAAGGTGGAGGAAGAGGATGGGCGCGACGGTGGAGGAAGAGGACGGGCGCGACGGTGGAGGAAGAGGACGGGCGCGACGGT